CTAACGTTAAAAAAATACAAAGACTGGCATTTAGAAATAAAAATTTTGTAAAAGTTGAGCTAGCAAAGCTAAAAAAGAAAACTAGAGAAAGAAGTTACATCTACAACTACAGACATTTGTAGCCCAGAAGGTTGCCTTAAGAGATTTCTGTAACAATTTCGCCTTTTTTCCTCCCAAAACTTTGACCGCCTAGATTCATCAAGCTGATCACGAAAACTGTGGACGAAGCCTACAGCGCCCTACTGCACGCTTACTTTAGCTAACAGTAAATGGGCTTTACAGATAGGATCCCCGTTTATCCACTTCACCCTAAACGCGTGTATTTTACCCATGTACAGTATATGCGTTAGGCGAGGCATTACCATAACAGCGCCCTTACGGCAGCGAAAGCCGGGCCAAATTTTTCCGAAAAGGCGCGGAAGCAAAAGAAGAGGTGTATTGTAAACGGGACCAGGTCACGTCCTACATGCTTGCTAAGAGTATCTGAGTGTAAAGAGATATCAACTCAGATACTCTTAGCAAGCACAGCAGCTACTTTATATGATGCTACGTTCATGAATCTATGTGATGAAGAAAACTTATGATATACCTTAAAAAAACGACAAAACCCTCCATAAGGCCTAATATTACACAGATTTTTGATGCCCATTGCTATTTGCAACAAATCCGCTCTGCAATGCTTACACAGCAAAAACTACTGATGTTTATATTGAGTTGCACAAATAGTGTGTCATTGGTTAATAACCACTCTGCCTCCCATAGGATGGATAGTAACAAACAGACAGATGGACAGACAGATAGACAGACGACGACCAGTAGGAACACAATTTGCGAAAACATATTTTTTATCTCAATTTATACTAAAGTGAGAATTTCGGATTAAGTAACTTGCTAGCCTTTCCTCCCTCCGTTCCCCCTCTTCCCTCCCTCTCGCAATAAAAAAAATTCAAGATAAACTATCGAAGAGGTTGATAATAGATGAATATTATGAACTTTTTTTAGTTTGTATATAAGGCTGAAAACCTACTAAAAATTACCTGATCAATTTGGAGCTGAGGACAGAACGTGGTAGTCTCAACGATCAATTGTTCAAGCACCTTAACATAATAGTTTCCAGAAACGAAGAAAGTGAAAAAAGCATACAAGAGCAATGTAAAATGGAAAAAGCAAGATTACCTCTTTGCAAACACCCATGGACTCAGAAGATGACACTTCTACCCATACAGCTTCAGTCTCTTCTGACATCTGAAACAGACTATCTTTGTTGGATGTCAGGAGTGAGCTGAACGTGGAGGTTACCTTTGTCAGATCACTATTTGTAATTGGAGCCAAGCTAATGACTAAGCCATTACTGTCAATAAGGCATGGAAGCAATGGTAAATCTATGACTATGTTGAGGTATCTGGAATGATAAGGAATGAATAGAAACATAAAAAAGA